TCTTGGCAGCCCCTGTTTTGGTTGATCTGAAAGCCCTGTTGTCTCAGACACGATATAGTACAGTGACTTTAAACTGACCCTTTCTTGAGATGATCAGCCCTTTTCATGTTATATCAGGGGTTGTTAAAGGGCTGAATTATAAATAAAGCTCAGTGGCAAACTCTTAAAGAATTCGCAGCTTCCTGTCTTCTGCCTTTTGGCTTTTGACTCTTATTTTGGGGGAGAGAGCTAGATACCTTCATATCACACTGTTCTATACACTCAGGAGGAGTGTGGTGAGGAAATTATCAAACATTTTCCCAGACTCAGCTGCAGAGTCCTCACTCCTCAGCTAAACAAGAGGGTTGTGATTCTGGAAAAGACACAGCATTTTGCAGTTCTTTCTTCTGATAGGCAAGAGTTTCTGTTTCTGATCTGAATGTTATCTCTATTTTGGGGGAGAATAGAAAAGAGCCCTAAACTATGGGATGAGACATGAAAATAGCAAAAAACAAAAGCGAAAACACCCCAATGGGTCAGAATGTATGAAAAGTGTGAACACAGGTCAGCTCTCAGCAGAGCCCCACAACATTAATAGTGTTTGGGATCCTCTTCTCACTGTGGAGATTTTGTGGGCTAACAGAAGTTTAGTTATTTTTATTGAAAAGTCTTGAAGAATATATTTCATCTCCTCAAGTTTTGGGTACATTTTTTTTCTTAGGAATTATTTAGAAATTTTTTTTTAATTTGTTTGTCAGATTCATAACTTTCCCTTTGCTGAATTTGTTTCCCTATTGTAAACTGCCACAAATTTCAGTTACTACTTACATACGCTAGATTTCAGTTATGTGCTTTCACAGCTACTTTCAGTTCTTTAGCATTTCTTCCTTTCCAGTAAGTATGCAAAATCTGTGTAGCATAATTGTTTCATCCTCAATTATGAAACAGCAGTATCTACTGTTAATTGGTATGTGCTTTGGAGTTACGATCGAAAAATGCTTTCTTTGATAGGTTACAGAATTTTGTTTCATTTGTGTCCTTTTGTCATAGGTTGTTTGAAACTAGGCTGTCCTAAAAGTATTAAAATTACTTGGATCACTTCATTTTTGGGAAAGAATCCTATTTTTCTGTGTGTTCCTAAAATTTGTAAGATCATCCTAGGGAGGTTCATAATTCTGTTTGGTATAAGTACTAGTTGTAGTGTACTATCATGTATTTAACATGAAACATTTTTTAATGAGTTGTAATGAATGGGATACTTATCATTCTTTTTAGATATGTCTCATATACACGTGATCACAAAATTACAATTAAAGGGAAACATCGATAGAGAATTATTCCAAACACTGATGACAAAAAGTCATGAAAGTACTGAAAGAAAACATTTTGACCCCAGGAGCATCCAGGAAAATGCATATGACAGTGACTCTCAGCAGAGAAATGAGGAAAGAAATCACAAAGGAACGTCTGTAAACGGTAGTGGAAATCTCCATGAAGAGAGAGACCAACGTGGCACAAGTGGTGCAGGAACCGAGCCCAGGGGAAACAGACTTGCATTAAGCTTTCAGAATGAACAGCATAGTTTTAAAAGTGAAGAGAAAATTGATTTTTTTAATGAAGCTGACAAGACAGGCAACAGTAGTGCCTCATTTTCACCACTTCCAGGAACTTCTAGTAGTGTCCAAACCAACATTTCTGAAATAGATGGGAGTGATTTTATGCATCTTTCAGTACTGACACGAGACCTGAAGACACACAGTGAAAGACTGTACAAAAGTACTCAGAGTGGCAAAGCTCTTCTCCAAGGGTCATACCTCAGTACACACCAGATCATCCATACAAAGGAGAAG